ACAAAAATATGGAACAAAGTATAGTACGAAGAGGGAGAACACTAACCTTGCTCGACGCGACTTCTGGCGTGGAGGACAGGAAGGCGGGTGGGGAGGCAGTTATTGCTTGGAGGGAGAGTCCCCCTCCCTACAGGGGAGGCCATTTCCCCTGTCACGGGAGGGAAAATGGCTGCGGATCCTGTTCGTCACCCGATCCGGCATTCGCGAACAGAGGCAACATTTTGCGAACGGAGCTGTTCGTGACCCGAGGTACCACTGTACCAAGGTTGGGAAAAGATTGGTCCATGAGGTGGATCAAACCTGAGGAACGTTTCTACTATCCTCTTATTTTTAAAAGAAGTGAGAGTTTTTATTGGTTTTGGTCTTACAGGGCAGGAAGAAGTCTTATATGTAATGGCTGAAAAACCTGTTAGACACGCTTGCATGACTACAGGGTTTTGCTGCTGCTGCTGTTTTGTTTTGTTCCTTCCACCTGAGCGATTTTCACAAACATTTTTCCACTGTTGCAAATAAAAAGACTTCCTGTGTAATGCAAGCCTGCCTGATTGCATTGTACAGGATATTAGTTTGGATATTAATCTTAATAAAAATAGTGGGGAAAAAGTTAGAAGAAAAAAACTTTAAAAAATACCCAAAACTGAAGAAGAAACTAAAACACACTCTACTGCTATTGGGACTTTTCATTGGATATACTGAAAATATAGGATCTCCCCCTGGAAAAAAAGATGTCTTATCACTCTCTAAAAGCTGAAAAAAATTAAAGGACTCCAGCTCTTATTGAAGATAATCTAAGGACAATGAACTTCTCTACTGCCTGTAAAACAAAATGTTTTCAATACCACTATGTAGGGATATACAAAAAATTGCTGAAAAGGGTTTTAAAAAAGTTTAATCCTTTTTTGTGTAGTTGTTTACTGAAAATCTTTCTGTTCTTACTTACCTGTAGAGGCAGATCTGAAAAAATCATTATCTTCCTTTGCTTTCCATTCCAAAAATCCCACTTGCTGTGATAAATGTGAAATATCTCAAATTAGATTTCAAGAATCTGATAACAATGGAACTGGGATTTTTAGCTGAATGAAAATGGAAACCCACACAATTAGCATTTCTGGTTTCAAATGAATACCCCATATAATGAGAAGGAATCTTGTGTATACATTTGTCCATGAAAGTTGTGCTGATTTTGCTTAGTATTAAATGGAATGTTTAGAAATGTTTAGAAATTGTAAATTATTTCTGCAGTATAGCATTGTACATATGTCACTTCATCCCAAAGATCTTTATTTACTAAAATTGTTTCTACATCTGTAACCATGTTGCTTATCAGTATATTCAAGCTGAGCAATTCTTGTTTCATGAATCAGTTACTAAATTTTTCAATTCATGTCTCTGATTCAAATCCAGAAAGCTCTTAAGGTTTTGATGTGCATAAATCCTGTCATTGTATAACTTTCTAAATCATAGACAAGAGCTAAGTAGCAGGCAGTTTAGTTTGATTCTTTTTCAGTCTGTTAAAGCATTTTTCTTTCTCTTTTGGGCCCATACCAAGCTTAACTGAAGCTGCTTCCTCTCAGAAGAGGGAGGGGGGAAGTTCTTGTTTTCTCTCTTATATAAGTATAAATTTCATACTTATAATAAATCAGATGAGAAACTCTACAAGTTATTTGGGTAGAAACAGATATGAGAACTTTTTTGTTTACTAATTAAATATAAAGAGAGCTGACATCATCAGCTTAGCACATTGCCATATTAAACCAATAGTTTTGCCTGAGATTTTGATCAGCAAGACTTCCAAAGCAAATTAAAATCAACACATGAAGCACTTGCTGCTTTCAACTTACAGTAGTTGGTGGTTTGAAAGGGGTTTTTAATTTTTGTCTACTGTTACTTGTTTAATTTTTGTTAGCCATCCAGAATTATGTTACGTAATGTGGGCAGCTGTAGACATCTTTTAAATAAACAAACTTCCCTAGAAACATATGCCCTCTCAGTTCATCCTGAGATGCTAGGCACTTACTTTTAGGGGAAAGAACTGTACCTTTCCAACAGCCTGACCTGGGAGAATTTCAGCTTCTCAGGGAGAATAAAAGGAGCAGAATGTTAAGACATGTAAGCCAGAAAGCCACATGTAAATGCTTCAGGCCATAAACATAGTAATGATGTTTGCAGTATCTGTGTATGGATTTGAGTAATGGAATAATGCTTTGTCATTAATAGTCATCTAATTTATATTACTTTTATTATGCAGATGCCCTAAAGAAGTTTATCCTCATGTAACCACCATTATAAACATTTGTCTTAAGTATCTTACTTACGATCCCAATTACAATTATGATGATGAAGATGAAGATGAGAATGCTATGGATGCTGATGGTGGAGATGATGATGATCAAGGTAGACTATGTTAGAAATAAAACATAACTGCTAAAAGTAAACATACATGTTATTAAAGCAGTATGTTAAATATATTTGTTAACCTAGTGCAATTGTCATGAAAGTAAATAATTTAATATTGACTGAAACAAGTTGATTATAAAATTTTATAAAATGCAAACTAGTATTATTGTCTGTCTTACAGCCCTAGGATTGAGTGGTGGTCTCCCTTTGTTAAAGATTTTGCATGAGAAAGTGCTCACTGGCTTATATCACTTAACATACATTTGCCAGGTTATATCATTGAATATACATTAGGCCCCAGCAGGACTGTACTTGTTTTATCAATCATCATCAATATTAAATATTTAATTGACAAAAAGCAGTCTAGTGTTATCTATTATTTTTAATCATGACTATATATAACCTGGTATCCTTTTATTCTTTTCAAGGGAGTGATGATGAATATAGTGATGATGATGACATGAGCTGGAAAGTTAGACGTGCAGCTGCAAAATGCTTGGATGCTGTAGTCAGTACAAGGCATGAAATGCTGCCAGAATTCTATAAGACAGTGTCCCCTGCTTTAATTGCAAGATTCAAAGAACGGGAGGAGAATGTAAAAGCAGATGTTTTCCATGCATACCTTTCCCTTCTAAAACAAACTCGCCCTGTGCAGAGTTGGCTTTGTGATCCTGATGCAATGGAGCAAGGAGAAACACCTTTAACAATGCTTCAGAGTCAGGTTAGTAAACAAAAGTATCCGTAGCACCAACATTTAAATATGTAAAGTGGTAAAAAATATCTTTTTCAAAGCAGCGTACAGATTACATTATTCTTAACTGTAATGAAATGTCTACATTAAACATCAGTACAGATATTTTCTAGTATGGAAGCTTGAATCACTATGCTGTCCTGCTTTTAGACAGTTGCTTTTGGTTTGTGAAGGGTAACAACTGCATTATCCTACAGCAAAGTACAACAAGTTACTTAGCATCTGAATGTGGAGATATTCTGAGAACAGACTGCTGGACCAGGTAAGCATTCAGCCTAATCCAGCAGGGCTCATCTTGTATTCTTATTTCTTCAGTTATATTTATTTAAGAACCATTCATAATTTGTAAATTTGTATAGGAGGGAGTAATGGCTGGATTATCTAATGCGTATATAATTACAGGTTCCCAACATTGTTAAAGCTTTGCACAAACAGATGAAGGAAAAAAGTGTGAAGACTCGTCAGTGCTGTTTTAACATGCTAACTGAATTAGTCAATGTGTTACCTGGTGCTCTCACACAACATATTCCTGTACTTGTTCCAGGTATGAACCCTGGATTTTGTTTTAAAAATATTGTGAACTTTTAATATATTTTCAAGCACTATTTAGTTTTGAGGCAATACTGTCTTCTTCAGCTATTGTACAACTGTGCTTTAGAATTATGTGAGACTTCAGTTCAGATATTCTATTTGGAGATTGTATTTGAAGGCAGCTTGATTGAATCTCCAAATATTCCAAATTGGTCCATTTATATGCTTGGTCTTTCTTGCAATGATTGACATGAGCCCTGCATTTTAGAATACAAAGCATACAGCCAAGAGAAATAATAATCAAATATTTATAAATTGGAGCAGGGAAGAAACAACATTTCCTCCAAATGGAAGATTTTGTTTTAATGCTAAAGGTTTGGGGTGTTTTTCTATTACTTTTCTAATGTGTTGAAAGGTAATAGATTGAATAGGTTTAACAGAGGGGTAAATATAGGGGTAAGGTTTGGAGAAATGTTCTATAGGGAAACCGGAGAGAAATAACTGAAGTAAATATCTATGGACTGAAAACACTGGGCAGGAGAAAATTGAGAGAAGAGGTTTGTATATAGGATTGCTATAAATCTTTCCAGTTTTGAATTCTAGTTACAGTACTTGGTTTTATGGTAAAATAAAGTTGTGTCAAAATCATGACAACAATTAAATTGTATTTGGGAACTCTTCTGAGAACCATTATTCTAAGACCATGCTCTGTCAAGCTCTCTTCCTTAGAAAAATGAAGTTATAGTATAAGGTTAAATGGTTGCTGCTAAGATATAGCAATACAATTTGATGACTAGGTGAATGAAGGAGCAAAAAAAAGGACCTAGAGAAACTCTGATTGCTGGCTAGGCTGTTGTTGCATTAGAAACAAACTAAGATTATATATGTTGGCATTATTTGTATAAAAGGCTTTGGTTGGAGCATTACTTGTTGGTAGACGATTGGACCAAAACAATGTTGTTCTTACTGTGTTACTATAGTTATTGTGTTACTATAGTATACCTTTGCAGGGGTTTTTTTTGGAATTTTTATCTTAATTTTGTTTAGATAAAATCACCGACAAATATCTAGCAGAATATCATGAAAGAACTGAAGCTTAGACAGATAAGTTTGGAATAATGAGTTAATGCAATTGCAGTGATGAAGAAGTGGATGAGGTGCATCTTCAAAGATTAGGAGTTTCATATTGGGGATGATGTAACTGAGAATGCTATAGTTTGGATAATTGAGCCTTGGCATTGATGCCACCATACGTTGTGCCCTCTTCAGAGGTCTTAATGGGTTGGCGTGTACAAGAGAAATATTTCAGTAAATACAGTGCATTCAGAAAATATTCAGCCCTCCTTCAGTTTTTTCAATTTTGTTATGTTGCACCCTGATACTACAATCTTTCAAATTCATTTTTTTTCTCATTAATGTGCACTTAGTACCCCATAATGACAAGGTGAAAACAGAATTTTAGAAATGTCTGTAAATTTATTAAAAAGAAAAAACTGAAATATCGCATGTGCTCAAGTATTCAGACCCTTTACTCAGTACTTTGTCGAACCACCTTTGGCAGCAATTACAGCCTCGAGACTTTTTCGGAATTACGCGACAAGCTTTGCACACCTGGATTGGGGGATTTTCTGCCATTCTTCTTTGCAAATCCTCTCAAGCTCAATCAGGTTGGACGGGGACCGTCGGTGGACAGCCATTTTCAGGTCTCTCCAGAGATGTT